GGGGTATCCAGTGGGCACCAGGAGGGCACAGGCCATTGCATGTTGGACCCCCAAGCTGGTGTGGTGAATCTGATATGAAATCTGAATGTGAATTGATGCAGCCACAGTCATGTGAAGAAATCTGAGACTCCATGAATATGGCACCAAATATAGCTATACTACCAGCATGGTCTCTGCCCACATTACAGGAGGGAAACATCACGCACAGCCAAAGTGGTTTAAATATCTGAGGATGAGCCAGACCAAGATACATAAAGAGGGAACTACAAATATCCTGGTAAGTAAATCTGTTAAGAAAAGTTAACTTTGGTTAAAGGAAAAAAAAAATCACAGAAGTCTAAGTAACCCTATAATGATTGTAATCATACTATTTGATACTATCAAGAATCGTTATAATATAATTGCGCTCACAGGTATCAAGGGATGTTCATCTCTTTTCCTCCCAGTTTTAGATATTTCCTTGTTTTCTCAAATGTTTTGGGATGAATTTAATTGGAATCATGTGTGTTAAATTGGGGACATTTAAACCTGCAGAAGATGGACCTTTTAGGTCTGACTTGGACATTTCTGAACATTACTGAACACGTATATCTAATAAAGTATAACTAATAAATTGTTTGTGACAGTAAATGTTTCTTTTTTTCATCAGAACCAGCCAGTAATCATATGGAAATAGAATAGCAAGAGAGAAAAGATATACAAATTTTGAGAAATTCTTAATTATTCTTACAGATGAAAGTACAACCGGAAATGGAGAATACTGTCAAAAAATGTCAAGATACTCCAATGCCCCCAGAGGGTCTGATCCCACCAGAGGGCCCCATTTAAAACAGCAGCATCATGCCGTCTTACTTGGCCAAGGGTCAAATATCCAGAGCACTCCCAATTTCAGAACTCCTTGCTGAGCAACACCAACAACTAATCAATGCCCAAGACCCAAATCCCCCATGCTGCAAACACTAGATAAAAACCCAGACAGTCAAAGCTATCCAGCCAGAGTGACCTTTCCAAACCATAGGGTGGTTCTAAGAAAAACGAGAAGGTAATGCAACATAAAAATACCACTAGACCCATCACACATACGTAAAGCCCAAACCCATGTCGTCTTCGCTATTGGGACCCCTAATCTTCTCCATTAGAGTTGTTAAATTTTATTATCTAAATGTAAGAAAATGTCTGTGAATTCATTAAAAAGTATATTTATCAATGAAAACCTAAACTAAATGAATCCCTTTTAACACTGCCAGGGCATTAATGGGAAAATCAACTGTACTTAAATAGTTTAACTTCAAACAAAAATGTTCTGTTTTAATATTTCATTATTCATTTTCACTCAAAATATGCATCACCTTCCAACAAATACCAGGCATGATCTTTCTGAAACACCTCTCCAATAATAGGATCTCCTTACAGCAAGACAATTCCCTGCTTAGCTAATCTTTATTTGTAACTTAGAATATTAAATGTGCTTTTTATTGGACTCTGGATTTCAAACCATGCTAAGAATAGTAGGACAATTCTATTATCTTCTTCTTTCTGCAAATGTTGGAACTAGAATAGCTTACTGGCAGGGCCCTTAACAACCAGCTAATTACATCTATTCAGTATTAAGGCCCGTTGCATGTGTATAAATGCCATACAATATATTACGTTAAGCTACACACCCTCTTTCCTATATATTACACTAAGCTACACACCCTCCTTCTTTTTATTCTCCCTCTCCACTACTACACTCCATGGGTATCTGCAGGATGGCCCAACATGTCGTCATACGTAAGAATAAAAGCTCTCTGGTTCATAAATGCTCGTAATGTTGTGTGTAATGGCCTGTAACTGTAAACCTAGTCCTTCTTTTAAGCACTCTACAAAAATAAAGTGGCTATATCAGTTTCACAGGAGATCTAATCATAGTGAGTGTGTAACAGCTCTGCCATCCAACCACGAAGCAGAGAGCTTTCCCATCAGAGGCGAGCAGTTAAAGGAAGAGTGTGTGTGAAAAATACACGAATTCATCAATTTTCTTCTTTAGTGCTTCATTCTTAATCATAATTAAATACCTCAGAATATGTTTAAATAAATGATTAGAATATCTATAATACCTTTTATTTTATTGTGTGCAGATGATACACAAAGGTAAACTTCTCTAACTTCTAAAGTGTGTTTGAGGAAAAATCTGAGGCCAAGACCATCTGTGAAAAAAACTTCAAGCTGAAATACAACCAGACCCTGCAACTTAACAACTGGCTAAAACAAACTATTAGAAATTCCAACCACAGTCTATCTGAGAATTTAAAAATAGAAAGTCCCAAGAACGTGATAGAGATGCTTTGGAGTGAGGCCCATCAAACGTCTTACTGCTGTGGCAAACTCTCCTCAGACTAATGTAAGATCAAATGGGCAAGGCTATTTCCTCAATGTAACACACACTGTTTACATCCTTTGTGTAATGGCAAAAAACAAAATCATATATATTTTTTTGTATGTACATTAATATTTGAATACTTTATCAACATGTGCATTAACATTTTTAAACGTGTGGCACATTAGACTCAACATATTCAAGCACATATTTTGATTTTTAACATTTAATTATTTGCCCTATTTTTTTTTACATGCTAAAATAAAAACCTAAAAGCAAACAATGTGAATCCATAGCACATCTAAGCCATTAGGGGGCCCCAAAAACCTTAAAGGGGTGATAGCATGCGAAACCGAGTTTCCATTGTCAAAGATGAATAAAGACAGTTCAGTGGGTGAAATGGAAGTAGAGAGAAGTTCAAACCCCATTTAGACCTCCTTTCTATGCAGGTCCAACAATTCCAAACACCATAAAACAGGCAAATCCAAACGAAGCCCCGAGTTGATGTAAACTCGGGGATGTTGCCTTATTTGGTTCTGGCCTGTTATTTTGTCACGCCCCGAAATGTACATACAGTCCAGCCCACTGGTTCACGGCCAAAATACATTAATAGAGGTAGATGTAAGACAGCAGTTTAGCTGTTTGGCCTACAGTTGGGTTTACTTGTACAAGAATTACAAAGCAAGCAAAATGAGCCCAAACCACGGGCGTAAATGCAGTGTTCCAGGCTGCACAGAGAAAGGGGAACATTTTCTTTTGTCTTTCAGAAGATCCCTTCAAAGTTTGATGCTCAGTTGTTCATTTGCTCTAAGTATTTTACCGATCATGGACAGTTCAAAGCAAGATTTTGAAAACTTCTTTTACTGAAACGAGTGGCTGTTCTGACTGTAAGACCATTACAACTGCAAGCTTTAAGTATGATTCTGTTGCTAAGCTGTTGATAGCAATACTAGCATATCTATGGTGACCGGATCTGGTACCGACCACCCCCACCATTTGAGGTGAATAATAAGACCACATTCACCTCTCCTACATCCTACATCAGATAAATCCTACATCAAACATGTCTGATCAGGTAAGTGTCAGATCTGAAATTTAACCTCACAACAACTTTTAAATTTAGTTAGCTCTGATGTTTAAGGGTATCTCAGACTGCTGTAAGCGATGCTCTCTTTGACATGACTTATTCAGGGATTAATCTGACCCTCTGATGGTACAAAGGCGAGCTTTTGAGAAGAGCAGCCTACACTGAGCAAGAAAAGTGCTGAATAATAACTTAAAATCTCATATATCTTAGATTAAGCTAATACTTGGGTCAAAAGTTACATAGTGGTGCTTTATTTTGAAGTCTTAATCATTATTATACATCACAAAATGGTCACATTCTCAGATAACAGCAATCAAACTTTTTTACCTTCCAGGTCTTAGATTAATACTTGCTAATAGAAGTATTTACAGCCCATGATATCTAAATTAAAAGTATAGTGAAAATCCTTTGGCTTCAAATTCCAATGGTATGATCTTGTCTTCTGGATCTCCTACCGGCCAGTCTTTATGACATGCTCAACTAATGCCAATGCAGGTGCTCTTACTGATTGTTGCACATTTCTAGTTTGTACGTATCCAGTTAGAAAAGGGAGATGTTGGAAGAAAGAAATGTAAACCAGAGTAATTCTTTCACACAATACCACAAGAGCAAGTAGGTAAGATGGACTTTCTCATGCGCAGTTATTCAAAGCTGATTTGGGCGCTTCTTACCTAAATTCCCAGAAGAAAAAACTTTCCCACCATACCTTTAATCAAATGTGGTTCTACATTTTTATAATATATACATTGATATTCAGTAATATTGTATGGATTTAGTCATTACTGATCTCCACATACATAGGAGACTCATGGATAACTTACGAAGTACATACCTTTTTCCATGTTTCACCAAAACACACAAATAATAGACCTGAATAGAGCATCTTGTAGGGGTAGCTAATGAAAGGTCCCTCAACTAGCTATAACCCTGATAATGCGTAGTCTACAACTGTTTATGTTTAAACGGTTGAACCAAAGCCACTATGTGAACAATGACAAACATTATTAAGCTTTTTGTCCAACTTAGGCTTTCTGAAATTATTCATTTTTTTTTCGATAAATGGGTGAATTAACTTGCCTCTTATAACAAAAATAACATAATGCTTATCTTTATGGTGGGTGAAGGGGCCAAAACACAAACACACACTAAAAGGTTCATGGTTAATAGTAAAATAAATAAAAAGAAAAGAAAATGCTACTTTTCTAGGTTTTATTTCTGTTGTTTACGTTTTGCTCTGGTAAATGCTGTGGTAACTATTCTCATCTCTTCTTCAACTGACCAATGGTTGGACTTTCTTTTTACCGTGACTTATGGCTGCTGTCCCCCTGAAGGCCGCAGCTAAAGTCTGTTTCAAACCCACCTTGACATTCTGTTACTAGGCTGCCATCCTCTGGGCGGAAATAAATGTCTCTCACAGGGAGATTGAGTTTTACGCTTGGCGCCTGCCAAGCAGTTTGTGCCACATCATAACAGCTTACTATTTAAAGGTGGGAATGCTCCGAGCCCCCCCTCTACCACCTGCTCCTGTTCATCTACCCCTCAGTGACAGACCCACAAGCTTCTGCCCCCTCTGTCTTTGCTCCTTATACTCCACCTTTGACGACTGGATCTGGATTTGTCTCTTCCCTCCTTACTTGTGGATTTCCATTCCGTTCGGGCCTTCACTCACTAACTTTTCCCAGCCTGTGGCCTGGCGATGGCGGAGGGCGTGCGTCCTGAGGATTACTGCGATGAGCCGGTGGAGGATGAGTTCGGAGAGATCATCAAATGTCGGTCTGGTAAGACATCAAAGCTTCCTGTGTGCATGTGTGGGTCGAGGAGTGTTGCTGACCCATATTCTGCTGACGGATATCAAAGGCTCTGATGCACTGATGCTGATCTTGCTCCAAGCTAGTGACAACAAAGTGGAGGTCACCCAGAACTTCATTAGCTTTGCATCGCCAGTTAATCCAAACCTATTGACTAGATGCAAAATCTAGTCAATAGCTTGGTTTTATTTTTGTGAACATTCAGGTCCATTTAGTAGATAGGCTGGCATTACTCTGCACATCATGTTCATCCCCCACCGTCGATTAAGATAGACTTGACATTTGTAGAAAGTGATTTATTATCAGATGACATTCATGCCTGATCGATGTGTTTATTTTACACTGTCTGAATATGAGATTGTCGATTAGCGACAGATAGAAATCAAGCAGGCCTGGAATATTTTAATGGATGGAAAGTAAAAAAATTCTTCATATTATGGTTGTTAAAGTTAGGTTTTTAACTTTGAGCTATAAATAGACAACTGTTATTATTTGGCTTCGTATAACTGGGAAAATAGCCAGGTTGTGAGCTCAGAGCTAAAAGAAACTCTAAAGGTACCGCCACTAAACTATATCTTATGATATCCTGAAGGAATGAGTGACTTTAGAAATGTTCTTATTTTGAGCTAAAACATAAGAAAGAAGAGCATTTTCTTGGTGTGACTAACATTAATAGACTACTTTGATAGAATGTTCTGAAATACTGTGTCAACCCTTAGAAATGTCTTTGTTTTTTTAGGTTTCTAAGATCATCAAACTGATTAGAGACAAACAAAAACATGAGATAATCTAAAAGGTGGTTTTAAATAGTAGTAAATAATCTTTTATTAAGGGCAATATAATCCTTTAAACTGAGCTATCCAATCAGTAAAACCACTTAAAGGTATAGTGGAGGACATTTTGCAAATTTTGATAAGACCTGCCCTTTCAGCTTTTTAAAAAATGCACACGCACAACCCTGTACCCGCTGCGGAGGTGCCTATTAAATGAGTGCAAGAGCGTGCACGAGGCCATTTCTCCTTGTGCACGCTCTGTTTAAAGGTCGCTGTTTGCATCGCTCATAAAAGCTTACTTTCCGAAAGAAGATTTGCATTTTTTCCCACTATGTCAGACTTAGTAAAAATGTGGATGAGCATGTTGGATGGTCTTATGTACACATATCACCAGAATGATTGACAATTAGGAGGACCACTTATTTTGATGATCCACCCAGAAAAAGAACATCCTCCACTATACCTTAAAATAGAGAAAGCAACTTACCGTTACACTATCTAAACAAATTGAAAACAGAAAGAAGTAATTCAGATCAATCTGTCTGGAAAGAGTGTTTTTATATTTAGTAAATTTTAAATTAAGCGCCTCTATCTACATAAACAGCGGAGATTAAATGAGGAAACATCCCCTGGAGTGTAAGGTCCGCCAAAATTACTCTAAAAGTGCATGGATGACTCATCCAAGAGGTCGCTACAGAATCAGCATCTAAAGCATTGAGCTTGATTTATGCTTGATGTGTCCGCTTGGCCAACATTTAGCTGCGTGCAGCATCGGTACAGACAGAAGTTCCGCACTGTGCAAGTGAGCAGCAGCTCTTACTGACGAGGGTTTGCAAATGTAAACATCTAGAGACATCCTGTGTTTTAGCCTAACTCCAGCTCCAACTCATCATAGAAAACAAAGCTGCTCTTTAGCTTGTAGCTACAGAACATAGCTGGTAAACAACCAGAGTATCCAGATCGTCAAAGCAAGTTGACTAGCGTTTGACCTAGTGTCCAAATTTCTGCGTTTTTAGCAATTTTGACACCCAGAATGCATTTCATGTAAATGGATCATTACTCAGCCATAAGAAGGACCTCAAAGGATTGCTGACCAAGAAGAACACAACCACATCTGGTGCAAAACTTGCTGTAATTCTGCCATATGGCTATCATTTCCCAACCACTTGGGTTAAAGAGGTCTACTACGATCCAAATCAGACCAGAGAGTCCACCTCTGGATGGCTGAGAAAAACATTTATGATGTGACCCAGTCAAATGGCATGACCTTAAGCAGGTCGGTCCTGCTCCAAAATCCTTTAACAGGCAACAGCTCTGCAAAGAAGAGTGGACCAAATCCTGTACAGTAAATTTAGTGTTTTTTTTATCATTTTAAAAACTACATTGTATTCTACACAGCTTTGAAAATCGAAGACATCCATGAAAACAGCAGGGAAAACGGAGCTGCATTTTAAATTTTATCCACTTAGATGCAAAGTCTCACTGGGTGATATAGAAAGGTCGAGAAACAATGATGTTAACAAACTGGTGAGACAGAATGTTGGTGAGGTGTCATTCTAGCATATTGTCTGCTCAAATACACTCTGAATGAGTAAATTAAATCTCTTCTCATGTCCTCCTGACTCGCACGCACTTTCTTCTGTGTCCGTTGCTTGCCCGCTACCCTACGGTGCAGCTGGTGGGTCAACTCCAGCTGGAAATAGCATTCAGCTGGCCCTGACAGACGACTGCTGAGTGGTGTCAGATTGCCTGGTGAGGAGGGTCGCGCTCTTGTCTGCTTCTCTGTCTATTACTTTTGTTGCTTTGGATTTTCTTCCATCCAGTCTTATAGTTTCTTTTTCACAAACTTCTCTGAGGTTCTGTCTTTACAACTGCATCAGGCGATTCTTCTTTACTTGCCTTACTTCCTGCCCTAACCTGTTCTATTTCTTTTTTTTACTCCCTCCCCTACTCCTTTATCTCAGTTTGACAGTCTCCTACCACCCATGTCGTTGCCACTGTATGGCTGGACTTTCTGTTGTGAGCTAAATCTGGCCTTCTATCTTTGTGCCGTAGGCCTCACTGGAGATACTTTACATACTGTCTGGAATACTGTCCCGTATCAACACATCCAGAGGCTACACACTGGGAATGTACAGCCTTTTTTTTCACATACCCTAACTTTAATCTGTCATATTTGTAAGAGAGTAAAACATTTTTGCCAGGATGAGCTTCCTTAAAATTCTGGAAAATGAGGAGCATCACCATGTTCTAAGGTCCTTCCACTGGTTCTACCTTTAAAATGTAGGTTTTTAAAAGGAGGTTTCAAAAATGTTCACCCTTTGACCCACAGAATGGTAGCAGTAATTCATGACAAAAATTATTTCTACAAAACCCAGTAACCTTCGATGTTATACCATTACAAGTGACATCAACAACCAAGGCGCACATTTAGATCCTTCAGCAATTTAACATATGTTTTTATTTTTTTGTTTAACTTCTGTTGTGGATCTTAAGACCCTACAGTATGATGGTTGATCAAATAACCAAGGTGGGGCCCACCCCCCAACTTTGACAATCAGGGTGTTGATCTATAAATCACTGATTGGCTTTGCAAGGAATATATTACAAACCTCTTGTCAGTGGATGGACCACCCAGACCTCTTAGGTCTAATGGCTGTAATCTACTCTACAGACCCAGAATCAAACATGGAGAAGCAGTTCTCAGTTCTTATGCTCCAATAATCTGGAAGGAACTCCCGGGAAACTGTAAAAGTTGATTTAATTCAACATTAAAAGTGTATTTTTTTACAGTGACCTCTAAAAATGCTATCTAAACATCATAAAGGTTGTTAGTTAGTTGGGGAGTGGCTGCCTAGTAGTTAGGGCATTGTGCTTGGATCCCAGAGGTTCTGAGTTCAAGCCCCACTCCCACATCCTACACTCTGGGTCCCTGAGCAAGACCCTGGAGACAGTGTTATTACAATAAAGTTGAATTCTGTTCCATTCTATTTCAGCTTTCCTTTTATTTTTATGTATTTAATATATTTTTTAAATTATTGATTATGAAATAATAGTTGGTGACATCATTTCTAAAAAACTGTTATTTTGGAGTACCTCTTGATTGGAAAAAAAAATCCTAATTGAATACTTCCTCCTATGGAGGAAAAACATCCCCACTTCATGATGCTGCCACCACCGTGTTTTCCCAAGCGGGGAAGGTGCATTCAGAGTGTGCTGTTGGATTAGCATGTAGGCTAGAAAATTAAATGTTTTCCTTATTCACACCACCACTTTTCAATGGGGGGCCAAAGTAATGAACTAGTAGTTATTTTACTTAAATAATTCCTATCCATTCCCCTCTGCTTTGATATTCTGAAATACTCTTTGTTAGTTTATCAAATAAAATCCCAATGAAATACATAAAAATAAAAAAAGTTATGTTGTTTTATTTAACTTGTCCAGTAGAGCCATTTTCTGGCCTACCGTACAGAGTAGCTGGTTAATTACATATGTGAGGGCAGCTTTGCTCCACAGAAAGGCCATCCACATGAGGTATTCATTAAATATGATGAATATGAACCTGTGTTTATAGACCTTCAGCTTTTTTTAGCTGGAGGCAGCAGAGCACCAGAGTCACAGAGCCCTGAGGCCAAAGAGTCACAGAGAGAGACGTAAAGTACCGAACCCCCTACCTAACCCCACTGCCACATCCTCCAGGGTAGATCAAGCCTCAACTGAACAGTGTGGTCTAAATTGTTAAAGGCAGCTGGAACTCTCCCTCTTTGTGATTCACATTATTCTCATTCATTTGGTTTGTAATTGAAAAACAACAAAAAAGGATGACAACATTTCAAAGCACATAACAATAATAAATGATGAATCCTCATGGGAATTTATAACCATGTTTGAGTCCATATGCTATGTTTGTGCTACCAAAAAAATATAATGTCATCAAGTTATTTTCAAACGTGTGAGAATTACATTTGTGCCCCTTCTGCTCAGCAGTGATTTTGGGCTTTTAAACCCACTCACATAGTTTATTTTTATGTTTTTTTAATTAATGAATCATGAACCTTGATGTTAACTGCAACAAGCAAGGACGATACAGCCTCGGATGTTGTCGTTGCCTCCTGTTGATGCACTCGTAGAGTCCTTTTTAGTATGGTGAAATCTCCTTGGAGGGCTCAATAGCACAATTAGGTATAAAGACAATTC